ATTCCTGTTTTGGGGTTCTTGGATGTTATTGTCCTTTGCATGGTGTCATGGTATGGAGGGTTGGATTAGGACACTGGGAGACCAAAGATTGGCCGTGGAAACCCAGTGGGTGACCTTGGGCAAGTCACACTCTCTCAGCCTCAGAGGATGGCCATGGCAAAAAACCCCTCTGAGGAAACCGGCCAAGAAAATCCTATGAAAGGCTCTTGCCTTAGGGTCACCATAAGTCAAAAATGACTTGGAGGCACACAACAACAACAGTATGGCCAGCACATCTACCCCTGAATATGTCCCCTTTGGCTTTGCTGGTCCTTACCAAGAGAGACTTGGACTGGGGTGGTGGATTTCTCCCTGATCCAAGGATCCCTAAGCCCAGTGGGTCATCTTCTGCACCCACAGCACCCACCCCCAAGGTGACCAGATATCCTAACCACAAAGGAGGACAAGGCACTGCAAAATGTAGGACATGCAAGGAAAAGAGTGCAGAGACATGACACAATTTATAAAAAAAAAAATCAAAACACACCTAGGAATATGAAGCCCATGCTTCTTAGGCAGGCTCAAAATTTAGGACCTGTTGGAAATCCCTCCTGGGCCAGAAGGTGGGAGTGGAGGACAGGTCCTGGAAAAAAGGAGGACGCCTGGTCACCCTGGGAGAGAAGAAGCTGGTGCTTTCCCAAAGGCATTTGCAGCCCTCCGAAGCCCCTCGATTTCTCTCTTGTGAAGTTGTGTCTGGCCAAGAGGACCAAGAGGACAAAGAGGACATCGCCAAAGGGAGGAGGGCATGCAAGCAAGGAAAAAGGTAGGGGTAGGACACAATAAGAATAATAATAATTTTTTAAAAAAAACCAACTTCAAAACCCTCCTAAATCTATGAAGCCCATGCTTCTTGGCCCTGCTCAAAATGGAGGACCTGTTGGAAATTCCTCCTGGGCCAGAAGGTGGGAGTGGAGGACAGGTCCTGGGAAAAGGAGGACGGCTGGGGCTGCTAAACAAAAGCCCAAGGGCGCCTCCTTGCAAGAGCCTCCTTGCCTGGAGATGCTGCATCCTTTTCCTCGGGAGAAAGGAAAGCCCACCACCGGGCACGCCTCCCTCCTGGATCCCCTGGATCC